TGTAATAAAGGAGATTTAACTCGTGTAATAAAGGGAACTAAACACGCGTAATAAAAGAAATTTAACACGTGTAATAAAGGAGATTAAACACGTGTAGTAAAGGGAACTAAACACGTGTAATAAAGGAGTTTTAACACGAGTAATAAAGGAGATTTAACTCGTGTAATAAAGGGAACTAAACACGTGTAATAAAGGAACTAAACACGTGTAATAAAGAAACTAAACACGTGTAATAAAGGAGATTAAACACGTGTTGTAAAGGGAATTAAACACGTGTAATAAAGGGAACTAAACACGTGTAATATATGAACTAAACACGTGTAATAAAGGAACTAAACACGTGTAATAAAGAAAATTAACACGTGTAATAAAGGAGATTTAACACAAGTTATAAAAGAAATATAACCTGAACACACGTACCTAAGTATACCATTACTAAATACATATAATATTACACATATACTGTATATGTAAAAATCGTCTAAACTGAACACGTTATTAGGTATGTATGTATACTTGTAATTGCAGCCGTCTATAATGACTCCTGAAATTTAAAACACATATTTTCAAAACGTATAAATAAGAAGCATGTTAATATAGACATCTGAGCCGAGCTTTCGCTTTCAAAGACAGGAATTGCAAAATGTCTAATCTGCACGCATGTACATGTAATTTAGACATCTTTACTGAACACACATTATTGTTGACTTCTTAACTCTACATGTGTGGTCCAAAAAAAAGGTCTAAACTGAAAATAAGTATTTGTAGAGGTAAGAGTTGAGTCAATGAACAGGTGTAATTAAGGTAATCTTAAATGCACGCATATACTAAAAATCGTCGATACCAAATGCAGATAATAAAAGGGTCTGAACTGAACATATGTAATTATAAACGTCTTATTTGAACATAATTATATACAATAATTATAGACGTCTTTACTGAACTTTGATATTTCAACACGTGTTATTTGAATATCGATTCTGAACTCTTGTAAGTAATTAAGGACGTGTTGACTGAACACATGTAATTATTCACTGTAATCGTCTTAACTGAACACATGTAATTATAATCGTCTTTACACGTGTCAGCAAATACACGCAGTTTAAAACGTTTAACTGACCTATGTAAATATAACATCTGAAATGAACTGATGTATTTACAATTACCTATACTTAACACAATGAAAATCCGTCCTGACTAAATAAGGAATCAAACACGTGTATAGTCATAAAAAAGTCTAACCGAATACGAAACTAAAAACAACTCAACTAAACACATGTTACGTATTGACATCGTTTAAACTGATACGTCCTTAACGAACACGTGTAATTACATACTTCTTAATTTACCACGTGCGATTATAGACGTTCTTAATGACATAAATAATTACATACTTTTTAATTTACCACGTGTGAATATAGACGTTCTTAATGACAAAAATAATTACATACTTCTTAATTTACCACGTGCGACTATAGACGTTCTTAATGACATAAGTAATTACACACTTCTTAATTTACCTAAGTCTTCAGATTTTTATAATTAAACCAATAATAATCTGTTACCTATGCATTGCCTTATTCCATGACATTCACCATAAAATGGTCTCTATGACAAGCTCTGTTAAACCCTCTGTATCGTCTGTCATCCTGATCTTGGTATCAACTTTGAGGACCGACGTTTTCTGCGCGATGTGATGTTTTTATAAAATAAATCAATGAAGATCAACCTCGTTTCGTTTCAGTAAGAATACGCAATGCAGTCTTACATGTACACATATCTTTTGCTGTCTCTAGTTATCTGTTTCTTCGTCTAATGAATGTAGCGTGTAATCAGCCTCGATACTCAAGAGATTATGTTCACCTTCCCTCTCTGACTCTCTGAACCACTTGGATTGAATGTGTTATGGCAAACAAAATCGAAGGCACGCAGCTGGCTATTTGATTAGTCTCAAGTAAAAGATAAAAGGCTAATACTTGGCCTTTGAAATAACAGAGGAGCGATACTCGACTTCAAAGCTTGTCGATGTTACCGTTATGCTGTCGCGGGATTGTTTGTTGCGTACATCAAACGACCAAACTTGTATTTCTGTCTCCTCCACAATATGGTACATACAGATCCTTCGATTGTGTCACGACACATTCCAGGGGAACAGAGAGCGGAAGTGAGCGTAACGCTTTATTTCGAGGATGTCCTGTAATTCAGGATTCAAAACGACTTAGACCTGAAATGTCCTGCCCTTCCAGCACCGCAGGAAGATCTGTCGGAGAGCTCTGATCCTTTATTTTTTCATTTATTATATATATGGCATCTTTTATCATAAAATCTCGTATGTAAGATAGAATAACTTAAATCATCACTTGAAATCTGGATAAACCTTTCATCATTTTGTAAAATATATTATAACAATTGACTGTTCTACTCTGTACACAATTTCACGCTTCAACATGAATCGTAGAAATGCCATCTTACTTTTTTGCATCTTTTCCAGGAAAGGTGAATGTTATTCAAAATGAATGGTTGTGAACCGTGTCGCGACAAAGTCAACAAAAACATATAGTACATGTACCGAGGAAATCTTGAGCATGATTGAAAACCTG